AAACTTCAACTGCGTGAAACACACAGTAGTATGAAACTTCAACTGCGGGAAATACACAGCAGTATGAAAATTCGGCTGCGTGAAACACACAAACTTCACGCATGCGTGGAGTGTATGGATTGTACGCGAGTGATTCACGCAATGGTGCGAATAGTCACGGCCTTCTTAGAATACGAGTAGGAATCAATAGAATTGAGAATTCTACTTCATTTATTCTTAATAGAAAGCTATTTCACTCTTCAATTAAAAATATTTTATGCTCCAGTCATGAATATTTATTGTTCAATCGATGAGAAGGTGAACCGTTCATCAATGAAACATTCAATGCAAGCAATACATTCACGCAGTATAAAAATCTACGAATTTGACGAAACTAAAATATTATATTCCTCATTTTACCATCTTTTTTATTTGAAAAATAGAATTTAATTTGATACTAGAAATCTCATTTCACATTTATTATTGAAATTAGTTATTATTATTAGCCATCTCAACCAGACCTGACCAATAATTTGACCTCCACTCCACCACAAAACGTCAAATACTGCATCGTTTGGATTGACATTAGGATGGGGGAACAATCGCTGACATTCCTACTCATAAACTGGAATTTCAGCGACAATTTCAGAAATTAACTGATTCATCAATATCAATACGAGTGAAAATGTTGCAATAAAAAATAAAAATATTTTAATCTCATTTCTAATTTCTAAAATTTTTCACTCTAAATTTCAAGAGCAATGTTCAGTATTGATGCCCCAAGAACTTAAAAATTATCGGGCAAACGACTGAGAATGAGTTGCAAACAAATCTTTTTTATTTAATTTTGTTTATTGATGAGTAACTCATTTTCCGTAGACTGTTAAATACAAGATTTAATCTGAAATGAGCCGAAAAAATGAAGAGCTACTGCAAATACTGCATCCTGATAGGCCGTGATCCGTTCGTGGGAAATACTCAACAATAATTCTCAATGGTTTGATATTCCCACCAGGTGGGCCCGCCCTCTAATAACGGATCAATCCTCGACGTATCCCTCATCCTTCACGGGACAAAACTACCCCCGGATTATCGTGGCAACACCCAGAGGATTTACAACGATAATTATAACCACATCCGGAAAATGGTAATTGGATTATCGCATGCAAACACTCGTCCATTGAGTGCCGCTAAATTAATTGTGAAAGTCCAGCTGATTGCACGAGATATGAAATGTACATTCACGTGTCATTGATAAATTCATGTTTGCAGAATCGAGGGATGATAAAAACTGATGGCAACAATAACGTGAGGCACGGGGTTGGGCTCAACAACGAGATCAATTTCACCGAGGAAGTTGGTGAACTGGAGAGTCTCTGGACTGATTGGCTACGTAGACTTTTATTTGGTTCAAGTTAATTCGATTTACTCGCTGTGAAAAGATTGCTCTTGACGAACAAACAGAATAAAAATCAATAAAGAATGGAGAGAATGAATGTGTTGAATTGAAAAAATATCAGAATAAATATTATTATTCCTCCAAGCAGAATGTCGGCCAATGGGAGGGCGGCATTTGATGTCACGTGGTAGAACCTTCACGATTTTAAATCGGTAAAATTTGGTAAAACTACGGCATGTTGCTACGGAACAATAAACAAACTAAAATAAGAAGAATTCAAATTCATGAAAGTGACAGTAACGAATCTATCCTTGAAATGATGGACACAAGTGTCAAAATTAGTAATTTTGGGGACGATCTTTCAAAATGCAATACAACTTTTTTCAGAATTTTTTTTGTATTTTTTTCGCTCTTCTCAGATTAAGGATGTTATCCAAAATCGCAAGTATTAAAAAAAATTGATTTTTTCTCAACTGAGAGATGAAGTTATTCCCTTTATCTTGATAAAAATTTCAATCCCCCAACCCACGTTGATTATTTAGAAATGAAGTGGACAAAATGTACCAAACGCATGTGCTAACATGCGCTTATATGGGGCAGAATCTTTCAAATATTTCCTCTTTTTACGCGGGCACCTCAAATGTTTTTCTAGCCATTCGATTCAGTATAGTTTTTCACATTACCTTCTATTTTTATTTCTATTTTGAGAGTCTTATAGTAGGTGAATTATGAATTTCAGCATAAATCGCATAAGAGCCTGTGTATAAGGAAAAATTTGTTTATTTATTTCTGGCGAGACTATTGCGATTAATTTTTTTAACATCAAAGAGGTTAGCTTCATATGTTTTGCTATCAGCCAAAAAAATTATAAAATTTTCCTTGAACATGAAAAAATTAGATTTGCTGAAAATGGATAAACATCCTTAATTACAAAAAAAAGAAAACTATTAGTATATTTTACTCAAAGAAATAATTATTATTTCAAACAATTGATTTTTCAGTTTTATAATTATTATATTTTATTATTACTCTTATTATTATTATTATTATTATTATTATTATTATTATTACTTGACAATCTTCATTGTTTGCAACGAAGCTATTGCGAAATACGCAATTCATTTTGAAACTCTCGGGGTATCACTACTGAAAATCAGTTGCTCAAAATATTCAGATTATTGAAATGAAATGAAATTTATTTCATCTATTAATCAGTAATAAACAGCTGTCGTGAGTATCCTCCTCACGATAAATTTCGTTAGCGGTAGCGAGAAGTTTTCGATAGTCCTGTTTATATACTTTTTATTCTCCGTGGGATCAATCTCAACAAAAAAAAGTTGGCAAACTGGAGAGACTCGTCTGAACTGATCAGCTACGTCTTGTCCCATTCAACTGAAACTAATTGGATTTACTTGTTCTGAAAGGTCTGCTGATGAACAAACAAAATGGAAAAGGAATTGAATGGACATAAAATTTCAGAAAAATACTGGAGTGGAGAGAACGCTACCGGATATCCAAATCAAAATTTTTTATCCGTGTTTTTGGAGTAGTGACAAGGTATAAACGGTGGTATCATGCACGTAGAATAATGGATCGTGTTAATTAAATAATAGTCTATTTCGTAACGAGTGCAAAAAAGTGTGTTTCGGCGAGCCGAAGGCGAGTGATATAATCCCACGAGCTAAAAAACATTTTTTCACGAGTTACGAACNTATTATCATTTATACATGTGTGCTGTCAAATGCCATTCTTTCTAACAGTAAGGTACACTGCACCGATTGCATTATTTGGAAATTTTTATCAAGTGGCAAATCGAGAAAAAAAGTTGGAGAGAAATTATCAAAAAAGTCAAGTAGGGTGAACAGGCCAATTGCTAGTTAAGAGAAATTCGAGTTTCCATTCAGTAAAAATTACGAAACTCACAATTCGCCCACCGATTACTGAATCGACTCAGAAAATTTAAGTGACGGTAACGTAATTTTTCACATGAGATTCAGGTAAAAATTACGGAACGCTCTGGAAAAATTCCGTGACAGTTCCGTAAAATTTTACATTTCGCTCCAGAATTACGGAAAAGATATGTAATGTTTATTGAAAATTTCTCTCCGTGCACGAAACCATTATTATTATTATTATTATTATTATTATTATTACTTAACAATCTTATTTGTTTGCAACGAAGCTATCGCGAAAAAAAATTATTACGGAGAGAAATTTTCAGTAAAAATTACGAAACCGTAACGTAATTTTACAAAACTGTCACGGAATTTTTCCAGAGCGTTCCGTAATTTTTACCTGAATCTCATGTGAAAAATTACGTTACCGTCACTTAAATTTTCTGAGTCGATTCAGTAATCGGTGGGCGAATTGTGAGTTTCGTAATTTTTACTGAATGGAAACTCGAATTTCTCTTAACTAGCAATTGGCCTGTTCACCCTACTTGACTTTTTTGATAATTTCTCTCCAACTTTTTTTCTCGATTTGCCACTTGATAAAAATTTCCAAATAATGCAATCGGTGCAGTGTACCTTACTGTTAGAAAGAATGGCATTTGACAGCACACATGTATAAATGATAATAGCACCGCAACTCCAAGAATTCCATCAATTCTGAATGTCATTGGTCTGCAAGTCAGACAGATAGCTTCCCCAGTTAATAATCCTTTCATGAGCGATTTCCCCGCCTATTAATTTATCTAGGTAAATTGGAGTGCGTTATGGGTCCCTGTACATTTTAACTACTCGATGGCGGGGAAGGGACGGGGTGAAGCATATTACAACGGTTTTTGGTGTATAATTTAACCACGTGGCTGCGCCGGCGTCGTGAACACAGTTAGAGGGATGAGAGCGATTGAAACAGAGTGCGGCGGGGTAAGATCAGTAGCATATCGCTTCTCGTTCCGTCGACTGCAAACTATCCGCCCGGTTTTTACGTCTGTCAATAAAAGCGGTATCTCTCAAACGCATTCAAAATAACCGTCAATTAATTTTCATCCGGCCCAGCCAAAGAATCGCATTTTCACTAGTAATCGGGAGGAGAGGGACCGCACAACCGAAGATTACGGCTGTAGAGTGAGTAAATGAATCCTTTTCATTATCCTTTCATCAATTCCTGCGGCTTCGGATGATTGGAAATGAGCGGTAGGGTTTGAGATTTTCAGGATTCTGTTATTATAAATTTAACTTGCTCGTTTCGAAATGGGGGATTTGATCAATTCTCTCCGCGTACCATTCCATTTGGTAAATTCAACTGGCGGGTCGGGAGTGGAGTCACTTGTCCTGCTAATTCCTCGTGTGACAACAACAAAGTGACAGCTAAATGCACTCCACCATGCTTAATGAAACCGTAATTCTACCTGCGGTTTCCCATTTCCTTATTGGAGGCAGATGAAAGAAATTTTAATTGTTAAGGACCTGCCACTGATTTTGGGAAATTTAGCACCAATTATTGGGGTTTGTGGTTGCGAATTTCAGAGAGTGCAAAATGCAGGAATTCAGTGATATCGTCACTGATTTTCACGGAGATTATCACTAATTTTTAGCTAAATGTTACTAATTTTCCGGGACTCATCTCTAATTGTTGGGAATTTATCACTAAATTTTAATAATGAAATTCGCTGATGTCAGGGTCCTTCTAATCAGTGTTCAGTATCACCAATAATTGGTGATAGATTCCCGAAAATGAGTAATGTGTCGTAGTCTGTCAGTGACATGTTCCTGAAAATAAGTGAAATGTCCCTGAAAATGATTTTTTTCAGTTTACACTGTTAAAAATTTTCGTCTGAATTTTTCGTGCCAAATTCCGGTAATTTTTATCGTGTTCAAGTTCCACTGAAATTGAGTTCCAAGAAAATTTTGTCATTGAAAAATCAAATATTCCATTGATTTTCTGTTCAAATAAATGATCCGGAAATCAATAAAATTCTTGATTTTTCAGTTCAGTTATTTTAAAATCAAGAAAATTCAGGGAAAAATTGAGAATTCATGTCATTTTGTTTTTGAATATTCATGTTCCACTGAAAATTCAATCAAATTGTAAAATACTCGCCTCACTCTCACTGAAAACCTATGAATTTCCGTGAATTCTACTTGAAACTTGAAATTTCATAACAATTTGTTTCCTAAATCGGACTCAAAGTCACTCTCATGAGATTTACTATGATATCTTCCATGAAATTTCAAAAAATTCCTAACAGTGTAGGAGAAATCGATTGTGAAGTGGGGGAATACAATAGACCAAGTTGATTTTTTCAATGTTTTTTCATCGAATTATAATAACAATCACAGGGGTCAGTAGAAAATCTCAAGAGACACGTTTTATTACGATTTAAATTAGAAGAACTCTTCTGGTATTTTCAACTAAAACAACTAATTTTTTTCGAGATTAGTGCACTTCGAGTCATTAAATGTACTGTAAGAAAATGCATCGAAAATCTCAAGTTTTTTGGTCTTTTTCTACTGAAATCATTACTTTCAAAGATGAATATTCAAGTGATGGAATAAATTAATAGAATGAATTGATTATTTAAATCCCGTTGGAGATTGAATATTCCACACTGAATTTCGTTCTTTCGAAATAGCAACCGTTTTGTTTTTATCCAGAATGTTACCAGCAATCGATTTCTTGCCAGAAAAAGAAAATTTTTAAAAGGTTAATCAATCATCATGATGCAAACATAAGAACGGAATGTTTAGAGAGAAGCCGTTTTCCTCGCAAAATGTCAGCTGAATGAGGCTGATCTTCTGTAACTTGTGCTTCATCTTTCTCGCGAGAATTAATTACCAAATTTATAACGCGGTTTGCGCGAAACTCTCAATTCCCTGAAAAAAATGAACGGCAATTTTCATTTTTAAAATTACTTCGGTAGCTGAATGAAATACTTTTCATCAAGACATTGGAATAACAAAAAGAATCAAGATCGAAGCCACTAAAAAATTAACTTGAACGCAGAGAAAAAGAAATTATTGTCAGCGACATGTCACCTATTTTCAGTGATCCATCCTCAATTTTTAGGAATTCGCAAATGTGGAATTCAACAGCTCCAAAGTTGAAACTGCACTTCAGTGATTTTGTCACTAATTTTTAATGATATTATCACTAACTACCAGGACAATGTAATTGATTTTCAGTGAAATGTCAGTGATTTCCGGGGACTAATCTCTAATTTACCGGGATCTCTCACTAAATTTCAGTGGTAGAAACCCTTCGTGATCAAGTTTATTCTAGTCAGCAATTGGTGATAGATACCTAAAATCACGCGGAGAGAAAAGTTGCATAAGAATTACCTCGAAAATCGTGACAAATTTTACTGTACGAATGGTAATCGTGGAGCGAAATGTAATTCAGTGAAAAAATACAGGGTTTTAGTGGAAATCTTACGATTTTCTCGGTAAAAAAATACACCCATGGATGCAAAAATTATCCTCTTGTTTGGTAAAATTTCCCACACCGGCAGGGGATTGTTCGGTTTGTACCCGTCTGAAGGTCATTGAGACGGACGGAAATGAATTTTTCCCAAACGGGTTCGGTAAAAATCATTCTCCGTTGGAGAAAAATTATACGATAAATTGGAGCAATTATTCATGTTCACTGGGATAATTTTTCATGGGATACAGGGTAAATTGCAATTACAGTTTCGGTACAAATCACCCTCACGTTTAGTAAATTTTCCCGGGCCAACGAAGTGAAATTCACTATTAATCTCGCACTTTTTCTCCTATTCAAAGTGAAAAAGTACTGGAAATCGAGGTTGGTCCCGGATTACTTGACTTGTTTGGTAATTTTTCTGCAGCTTTTGTAACTTCCCGACCCAACCGACGGAATGTGGCAAAAATCGAATGTGGAATTGCCATGATTTCTTCACATTTGTTGGCCTCTAGAATTATTATCATACGTTTTTGAAGATATGTCTGTATGTGTCTGTGTACGCATGTGCCCAAAATTTTGTCCAATATTTAAAAAAACCATGTCCACCGATTCAAAAAAATTTGTTTTCAATCGATGCATGTTAATGTGACTTCGAACTGATTAGGTTATGAAGACGATCGTCGCAGCGGTTCATTAGTTATTCGCATAAAGCTTGTGAAAAAATCGAGAAAAATGAGTTTTCTTTGAATACTTAACAATTTTACCGAGAATAATGATGGGTGTTGATTTTTTTTAGTACGGTCAATGCATTTACATATGCACGGAGAGAAATGTTCAGTAAAAATTACGGAACTTACAATTCGCTCACCGACTACAGAATTGACTCGGAAAATTTAAGTGACGATATGGTAATTTTTCACAGGAGACTCCGGTAAAAATTGCGGAACGCTCTGGGAAAATTCCGTGACAGTTTCGTAAAATTTCCTACAACCACATTTCGCTCCGGAATTACGGAAGATACGTAATTTTTATTGAATATTTCTCTCCGTATAATTCGATTTCGATTGGATTGTGAGCAAAATCGTCTCAACCGTTTTCTTGTTATCCGCATGGAAACTTCAAAATTTGCGTTTTTTCTTGCTAATAAAACAGAAAAACCGACCCGTAATGAGTCACCTCCACTTCACCCACTCGCAATGGGAGCGTGCGACCAACAACCCAGTCGAATTTTTCGCCGTGCAGTGGCATGCCCCTGGAAATCACTAATCTTCCTGAAAATCAATACAATAATATATTCTGCAAAATCAATATTTTTTCTCTGTGGAAGAAATCCCAATGGAACTACTTTTCAATGAATTTGAAAAAATTCCACAATTAATTTACATACCGAACTGTATAGAAAGACTTGAATACCGTTAAATCCTCAATTCCCCTCAAACGACCACCAGAAGTCGTACAACTTTAGCCCCCGCGATTCTCCCCCAAATCGGCTGATCAATTATTCATCACCCCCAATTATTCTTAGCCAAGCGATGATTTGAGATGTTGTCTCTGTTCATTTGAAACACTCCGGAAAAGCTTGCCCCCATCGCGATCGAATATCTCACCCCGGGCTGTTTCCACCCTTCCAGCGCTCACCTCAACTCATGCAATTCCAAGTGAAATAATTCTTTTAGATGAGGGAGAGGGGGGAGCGCATCGTGAGAGAAAAGAATTGGTTGGGAATTACATTGGGAATATCAGAGTGCAAAGCACCTATGGATTATTAAATGGGGTCAATGGGGCCCCCGAGTGGAATCTCAACTCAGTGGAAAGACGAAGGAAATGGCTGAGACCAGGGCAACTCAAGAGTTCTAACAATTTCTTCAATCCGGGGGTTCAACATTTTTTTTCCATTCACTGTCTCTCTCGGCCCTGTTTTTTAAACGCTTCCTTGGAACTAACGAGATTGCACACATGATGGATGTGGACTCTGTATTCTTGGAGGTATTTTTAGATCCACAAAAGATGGGAACAAAAAGGAGCGGAGGTGGATAAACACTGGTACTCAGATAATTAACAAATTTTTCTTTTGGAAAAAAATTAAATTCCTGCACGGACTCGTCACGGATTAATTACACTGGCGCAAATTAATTTTTTATTTCACTGTTTCATTGTCTTTCTACTGTTATTCTAGAAATTTTGAGGGAAAAATTTTAACATTTGGAAGACTAATTTGCAGGAAATTTACTCGTATTGTTCGCAATACACTCGACATTTCTAATTTTCGAGGCCATACAACAACTAAGATTATTGAAGAGTACGAGTATTTAGCACCTATTGTTCTGAATTATAAATTTAATGAAAATGATGATGAAATTTGGTATTTTCGATAGAACTCAATGGAATTTATAAGTCTTCAGTGAATGTATGCTGGGAATTCTTAAATTTACTCAAATTTTCAATTGAAAATGATTATTTACTATCAGAATGATAAAATTTTCAATTTTTACCTGAACTTTCACTTTTCGATTTACGAATTTTACCTGAAAATTCACAACTCGATAAAATGATTAGAGAATTACTGAAATTCTTGATGTTCTAACGACGAAATTTGCAGGAATTTCCCTGGAAATATCACCAGAGAAAAATTAATGATCGCTTAGAATGAAAAGCTCAATGTTGTTGAATTTTCAAGATGAATAAAGAAGACAATGAAAGATGT